TCTACATCTGCAGAACGTGAGGAACCAGTGGCATCTACATCTACAGAATGTGAAGAACCAGTGGCATCTACATCTACAGAATGTGAAGAACCAGTGAAATCTACATCTGCAGAACGTGAAGAACCAGTGGCATCTACATCTACAGAACGTGAAGAACCAGTGGCATCTACATCTGCAGAACGTGAAGAACCAGTGGCATCTACATCTACAGAACGTGAAGAACCAGTGGCATCTACATCTGTAGAACGTGAAGAACCAGTGGTATCTACATCTACAGAACGTGAAGAACCAGTGGCATCTACATCTACAGAACGTGAAGAACCAGTGGCATCTACATCTGCAGAACGTGAAGAACCAGTGGCATCTACATCTGTAGAACGTGAACAACCAGTGGCATCTACATCTACATAACGTGAAGAACCAGTGGCATCTACATCTACAGAACGTGAAGAACCAGTGGCATCTACATCTACAGAACGTGAAGAACCAGTGGCATCTACATCTACAGAACGTGAAGAACCAGTGGTATCTACATCTACAGAACGTGAAGAACCAGTGGTATCTACATCTACAGAACGTGAAGAACCAGTGACATCTACATCTGCAGAACGTGAAGAACCAGTGGAATCTACATCTACAGAACGTGAAGAACCAGTGGTATCTACATCTACAGAACCTGAAGAACCAGTGGTATCTACATCTACAGAACGTGAAAAACCAGTGGCATCTACATCTGCAGAACGTGAAGAACCAGTGGCATCTACATCTGCAGAACGTGAAGAACCAGTGGCATCTACATCTGCAGAACGTGAAGAACAAGTGGCATGTACATCTACAGAACGTGAAGAACCAGTGACATCTACATCTGCAGAACGTGAAGAACCAGTGGCATCTACATCTGTAGAACGTGAAGAACCAGTGGCATCCACATCTACAGAACGTGAAGAACCAGTGGCATCTACATCTGCAGAACGTGAAGAACCAGTGGCATCTACATCTACAGAACGTGAAGAACCAGTGGTATCTACATCGACAGAACGTGAAGAACCAGTGGCATCCACATCTACAGAACGTGAAGAACCAGTGACATCTACATCTGCAGAACGTGAAGAACCAGTGGCATCTACATCTGCAGAACGTGAAGAACCAGTGGCATCTACATCTACAGAACGTGAAGAACCAGTGGCATCTACATCTACAGAACGTGAAGATCCAGTGGCATCTACATCTGCAGAACGTGAAGAACCAGTGGCATCTACATCTGCAGAACGTGAAGAACCAGTGGCATCTACATCTACAGAACGTGAAGAACCAGTGGCATCTACATCTACAGAACGTGAAGAACCAGTGGCATCTACATCTACAGAACGTGAAGAACCAGTGGCATCTACATCTGCAGAACGTGAGGAACCAGTGGCATCTACATCTACAGAATGTGAAGAACCAGTGGCATCTACATCTACAGAATGTGAAGAACCAGTGAAATCTACATCTGCAGAACGTGAAGAACCAGTGGTATCTACATCTACAGAACGTGAAGAACCCGTGGTATCTACATCTACAGAACGGGAAGGACCAGTGGCATCTACATCTACAGAACGTGAAGAACCAGTGGCATCTACATCTGCAGAACGTGAAGAACCAGTGGCATCTACATCTGCAGACCGTGAAGAACCAGTGGCATCTACATCTGTAGAACGTGAAGAACCAGTGGCATCTACATCTGTAGAACGTGAAGAACCAGTGGCATCTACATCTACAGAACGTGAAGAACCAGTGGCATCTACATCTACAGAACGTGAAGAACCAGTGGCATCTACATCTGCAGAACGTGAAGAACCAGTGGCATCTACATCTGTAGAACGTGACGAACCAGTGGCATCTACATCTACATAACGTGAAGAACCAGTGGCATCTACATCTACAGAACGTGAAGAACCAGTGGCATCTACATCTACAGAACGTGAAGAACCAGTGGCATCTACATCTACAGAACGTGAAGAACCAGTGGTATCTACATCTACAGAACGTGAAGAACCAGTGGTATCTACATCTACAGAACGTGAAGAACCAGTGACATCTACATCTGCAGAACGTGAAGAACCAGTGGAATCTACATCTACAGAACGTGAAGAACCAGTGGTATCTCCATCTACAGAACCTGAAGAACCAGTGGTATCTACATCTACAGAACGTGAAAAACCAGTGGCATCTACATCTGCAGAACGTGAAGAACCAGTGGCATCTACATCTGCAGAACGTGAAGAACCAGTGGCATCTACATCTGCAGAACGTGAAGAACCAGTGGCATGTACATCTACAGAACGTGAAGAACCAGTGACATCTACATCTGCAGAACGTGAAGAACCAGTGGCATCTACATCTGTAGAACGTGAAGAACCAGTGGCATCCACATCTACAGAACGTGAAGAACCAGTGGCATCTACATCTGCAGAACGTGAAGAACCAGTGGCATCTACATCTACAGAACGTGAAGAACCAGTGGTATCTACATCGACAGAACGTGAAGAACCAGTGGCATCCACATCTACAGAACGTGAAGAACCAGTGACATCTATATCTGCAGAACGTGAAGAAACAGTGGCATCTACATCTGCAGAACGTGAAGAACCAGTGGCATCTACATCTACAGATCGTGAAGAACCAGTGGCATCTACATCTACAGAACGTGAAGATCCAGTGGCATCTACATCTGCAGAACGTGAAGAACCAGTGGCATCTACATCTGCAGAACGTGAAGAACCAGTGGCATCTACATCTACAGAACGTGAAGAACCAGTGGCATCTACATCTACAGAACGTGAAGAACCAGTGGCATCTACATCTACAGAACGTGAAGAACCAGTGGCATCTACATCTGCAGAACGTGAGGAACCAGTGGCATCTACATCTACAGAATGTGAAGAACCAGTGGCATCTACATCTACAGAATGTGAAGAACCAGTGAAATCTACATCTGCAGAACGTGAAGAACCAGTGGCATCTACATCTACAGAACGTGAAGAACCAGTGGCATCTACATCTGCAGAACGTGAAGAACCAGTGGCATCTACATCTACAGAACGTGAAGAACCAGTGGCATCTACATCTACAGAACGTGAAGAACCAGTGGCATCTACATCTACAGAACGTGAAGATCCAGTGGCATCTACATCTGCAGAACGTGAAGAACCAGTGGCATCTACATCTGCAGAACGTGAAGAACCAGTGGCATCTACATCTACAGAACGTGAAGAACCAGTGGCATCTACATCTACAGAACATGAAGAACCAGTGGCATCTACATCTACAGAACGTGAAGAACCAGTGGCATCTACATCTGCAGAACGTGAGGAACCAGTGGCATCTACATCTGTAGAACGTGAAGAACCAGTGGCATCTACATCTGCAGAACGTGAAGAACCAGTGGCATCTACATCTGCAGAACGTGAGGAACCAGTGGCATCTACATCTGCAGAACGTGAGGAACCAGTGGCATCTACATCTGCAGAACGTGAAGAACCAGTGGGATCTACATCTACAGAACGTGAAGAACCAGTGGCATCTACATCTGCAGAACGTGAAGAACCAGTGGCATCTACATCTACCGAACATGAAGAACCAGTGGCATCTACATCTACAGAACGTGAAGAACCAGTGGTATCTACATCTACAGAACGTGAAGAACCAGTAGCATCTACATCTGCAGAACGTGAGGAACCAGTGGGCATCTACATCTGTAGAACGTGAAGAACCAGTGGCATCTACATCTACAGAACGTGAAGAACCAGTTGCATCTACATCTACAGAACGTGAAGAACCAGTGGCATCTACATCTACAGAACGTAAAGAACCAGGGAAAGCCCTAATGAGCTGTATAACTATTTTTCAGAAGCGACCTGGCCATCAACAAATGATAGCTCAACCAAGGGGTTCATTCTTGTCATCATCACTTGGAAATTTAGAGCAGCAAAATACTCACGTTTTCTACAGACTCAGAGACCCATAGACCCACACTCAGAGACCCATCGAGCCACAGTGATCCAGAGAGACTCGTGTACAACCATAGAGACCCACAGAAACCCACTCATCGAGACCCATACTAAAACCAAAATATTGTATTTACCAATTTCGATTTAAAGCTTTTGTGACTGCAAGGATTCATCTTCCTTGGTTCTTTCGGTAAAGTCACGTAGAATGAGAATAAGACTGCCTCGAGACAGTCTCGTCCCTTCACCTGATGAAGGCCACTTGTGTTTGTGGCCGAAACGTCGTGAGAATTTTAGTGTTATTTTATTTTATCAATTTATTAATTTATTCTCATTCTACGTGGTGACTTTACCGAAAGAACCAAAGAAGATTATAGTTACCAGTTAAGGCCCCACTCTGAGCTTGGTCGCTCTTTTTCAGAAGCGACCTGGCCATCAACAAATAACAGCTCGACGTCATCATCATCATCACGTGGAAATTCACAGCAACAGACAAATACATCCAAAACGCGTGACGGTGATCCGACATGTGGAGGGGGAAAAAAATGGAGGGCCTGGTGAAAACTCCACGCGACCCACGGGGAGAGAGACGCAGACTCCAAAGACTCAGCGGGCGTCAGGGTCATGAACGAACCCACGACCTTCCTGCATCACTCCCTGTGGAGTAGTGACGCCCACCGCACCACCACCACCCCACCGCCACCGCCACCACCCCACCACCACCCCACCACCCCACCGCCACCACCCCACCGCCACCACCACCACCGCCACCACCCTACCGCCACCACCCCACCACCACCACCCCCCCACCACCACCACCACCCCACCGCCACCACCACCACTCCCGCCCCACCACCACTCCCCCCCCCCCCCACACCCCTCCCACCCGCCCACCACCACTCCTGCCCCACCACCACTCCCCCCCCCCCACACCCCTCCCACCCGCCCACCCCCACTCCAGCCACACCACCACACCCCTCCCCCCCGCCCCACACACCCCTGCCCCCTCACCTTTGGGGTACTCCTCCAGCAGCAGGTTGAGATGGCCCAGCTGACAGAACAGCCGCGGGTCGGCCTTCCCCTCGCCCTTGCGCACCAAACAGTCGTAGTATCTGAGGCCCTGTTGGTGGAGACACAACGATAAAGACGACGATCCACGCACCCCACACCACCACACACCCCACCACACCACCCCCACGCACCCCCCGCCACCACACACCACCACGCACCCCCACGCACCCCCACGCACCCCCACGCACCCCCACACACCCCCACACACCCCCACACACCCAGCCACACACCCCATGCACCCCACCACGCACCCCCACGCACCCCACACCCCACACACCCCCACGCACCCCCACACACCCCCACACACCCCCACGCACCCCGCAACACCACCCCACACACCCCACGCCACCACGCACCCCCACGTACCCCACGCCACCACACACCCCACCACACACCCCACGCACCCCCACACCACACACCCCACGCACCCCACCACACACCCCACCACACACCCCACGCACACCCACACCACACACCCCACGCACCCCCACGCACCCCGCCACACACCCCATGCACCCCACCACGCACCCCCACGCACCCCCACACATTGCCACCCATCGCAATGCCCAAACGATCACAAGCTCCGATGAGGACAGTTGGCTACGTACGGTGCGGAAGAAGTTCAACACACACACAGCATGGTTGGCTAAGTATGGTAACAAGTTTAACACACACACACAGCACGGTTGGCTACGTATGGTAACAAGTTCAACACACACACAGCACGGTTGGCTACGTGAAGTTCAACACACACACACACACAGCATGGTTGGCTACGTATGGTAACAAGTTCAACACACACAGCACGGTTGGCTACGTGAAGTTCAACACACACACACACAGCATGGTTGGCTACGTATGGTAACAAGTTCAACACACACAGCACGGTTGGCTACGTGAAGTTCAACACACACACACACAGCATGGTTGGCTACGTATGGTAACAAGTTCAACACACACAGCACGGTTGGCTACGTGAAGTTCAACACACACACACACAGCATGGTTGGCTACGTATGGTAACAAGTTCAACACACACAGCACGGTTGGCTACGTGAAGTTCAACACACACACAGCACGGTTGGCTACGTATGGTAATAAGTTCAACACACACACAGCACGGTTGGCCAAGTATGGTAACAAGTTCAACACACACACACTGCACGGTTGGCTACGTGAAGTTCAACACACACACAGCACGGTGGGCTACGTATGGTAAGAAGTTCAACACACACACACTGCACGGTTGGCTACGTGAAGTTCAACACACACACACACAGCACGGTTGGCTAAGTATGGTAACAAGTTCAACACACACACACACACAGCATGGTTGGCTACGTATGGTAACAAGTTCAACACACACACACAGCATGATTGGCTACGTATGGTAACAAGTTCAACACACACACACACAGCACGGTTGGCTACGTATGGTAAGAAGTTCAACACACACAGCACGGTTGGCTACGTATGGTAACAAGTTCAACACACACACACACAGCACGGTTGGCTACGTATGGTAACAAGTTTAACACACACACAGCACGGTTGGCTACGTGAAGTTCAACACACACACTGCACGGTGGGCTACGTATGGTAACAAGTTTAACACACACACAGCACGGTTGGCTACGTATGGTAAGAAGTTTAACACACACACAGCACGGTGGGCTACGTATGGTAACAAGTTCAACACACATGCGTACGTACAACAAACTGTTGGGGACAGCGCTGTTTGGGAGTGGCACAAACGAAGGCCGTGGCACGGTGGGCATGGGGGTGGTGGGATGGGCCAGCGCCACGCCCCCACCACCTTTTCCCCTCCACATTTAGAATCAACGGAGTATTTGGTTGAGAAAAGGTTTTCCCCTTTTTATCAGGCAACAAAACAGGTGTTAAGATTACTCTTTGGTTCTTTCGGTAAAGTCACGTAAATAAAACTAAACATATCTACGACGTTTCGATCGCAACAACAGGCGACCGTCTTCATTCACCCGAAGACGGTCGCTTGCTGTTGCGATCGAAACGTCGTTGATGTTATTTTGTCTATGACTTTAACGAAAGAACCAAAGTGCATGGATTCCTGCAGTCACGAAAGCTTCAAATCATGCAACAACAAAAAAACGTACTCTGATAACGTGATGCATCGTCCTTGAAACCGATTGGTCCACACCAGCGACAGCTTTCTTTTGAGCCTCGTCTCAAAACGGTGTTAGACCGGAGGACGCCAAAAGGCGCACACAGCTCAAAGACAACGCACTATCAGAGTAATGAGGGCTCGGGGTGAGCATCAATATCATGGGATCTCCTTTAGGTTTTCCCCCAAAAGGTTTCACAGTTTGGTTGCTTTAGCATCTCAACAAAGCTGTTTTGTTGCCAGAAAAAAAGGGGAAAACCTATTCTCATATTTTGGTACTGGCAAAGGAGGTCCCATGGTCGGTCGGGTGGACAACCGAGTGAGTGGGTGGTTGGGTGGATAGCCGAGTCAGTGGGCGGTTAGGTGGAAAGCTGAGTCAGTGGGTGGTTGGGTGGTTGGATGGATAACTGAGTGAGTGGTTGGTTGGGTGAATAGCTGAGTGGGCGGTTGAGTGGATAGCTGTGTGAGTGGGCAGTTGAGTGGATAGTTGAGTGATTGGGCGGTTGAGTGGATAGCTGAGTGAGTGGGTGGTTGGGTGGTTAGCTGAGTGAGTGGTTAGTTGGGTGAATAGTTGAGTGAGTGGGCGGTTGAGTGGATAGCTGAGTGATCCTGCGGCTGGCTGACTGCACGTCAGTAATGAGGTTTGGTGGGTGGACAGATGAGTGAGTGCGTGGTGGGTCGATCGTACATCTCAGTAACCGAGTGGGTGGGCGGATAACGCAGTGAGTGTGTGTGTGCGGCGAGCTCAGCGCGCTGATTGGGTGAGCATCAGAGATGATGACTGGAGCTAGCATGGGAGATGACTGGAGCTAGCGTGGGAGATGACTGGAGCTAGCGTGAGAGATGACTGGAGCTAGCGTGAAAGATGGTGACTGGAGCTAGCGTGAGAGATGGTGACTGGAGCTAGCGTGAGAGATGTTGACTGGAGCTAGAGTGAGAGATGGTGATTGGAGCTAGCTTGAGAGATGGTGACTGGAGCTAGCGTGAGAGATGACTGGACCTAGCGTGAGAGATGATGACTGGAGCTAGTGTGAGAGATGGTGACTGGAGCTAGCGTGAGAGATGACTGGAGCTAGCGTGAGAGATGGTTACTGGAGCTAGCGTGAGAGATGGTGACTGGAGCTGACACAGAGAGATGATGACTGGAGCTAGCGTGAGAGATGGTTACTGGAGCTGACACAGAGAGATGGTGACTGGAGCTAGCGTGAGAGATGATGACTGGAGCTGACACAGAGAGAGATGGTGACTGGAGTTGACACAGAGAGAGATGGTGACTGGAGCTAGCGTGAGAGATGTTGACTGGAGCTAGCGTGAGAGATGATGACTGGAGCTAGCGTGAGAGATGGTGACTGGAGCTGACACAGAGAGATGGTGACTGGAGCTAGCGTGAGAGATGATGACTGGAGCTAGCGTGAGAGATGGTGACTGGAGCTAGCGTGAGAGATGGTGACTGGAGCTGACACAGAGAGATGATGACTGGAGCTAGCGTGAGAGATGGTGACTGGAGCTGACACAGAGAGATGATGACTGGAGCTAGCGTGAGAGATGGTGACTGGAGCTAGCGTGAGAGATGTTGACTGGAGCTGACACAGAGAGAGATGGTGACTGGAGCTGACACAGAGAGAGATGGTGACTGGAGCTAGCGTGAGAGATGGTGACTGGAGCTAGCGTGAGAGATGGTGACTGGAGCTGACACAGAGAGAGATGGTGACTGGAGCTAGCGTGAGAGATGTTGACTGGAGCTGACACAGAGAGATGATGACTCGAGCTAGCGTGAGAGATGACTGGAGCTAGCGTGAGAGATGTTGACTGGAGCTAGCGTGAGAGATGTTGACTGGAGCTGACACAGAGAGAGATGTTGACTGAAGCTAGCGTGAGAGATGACTGGAGCTAGCGTGAGAGATGTTGACTGGAGCTAGCGTGAGAGATGGTAACTGGAGCTAGCGTGAGAGATGGTGACTGGAGCTAGCGTGAGAGATGGTGACTGGAGCTGACACAGAGAGATGGTGACTGGAGCTAGCGTGAGAGATGGTGACTGGAGCTGACACAGAGAGAGATGTTGACTGGAGCTAGGGTGAGAGATGGTGACTGGAGCTGACACAGAGAGATGGTGACTGGAGCTGACACAGAGAGAGATGATGACTGGAGCTAGCGTGAGAGATGGTGACTGGAGCTGACACAGAGAGAGATGGTGACTGGAGTTGACACAGAGAGATGGTGACTGGAGCTAGCGTGAGAGATGGTGACTGGAGCTAGCGTGAGAGATGGTTACTGGAGCTAGCGTGAGAGATGGTGACTGGAGCTGACACAGAGAGATGATGACTGGAGCTAGCGTGAGAGATGGTTACTGGAGCTGACACAGAGAGATGGTGACTGGAGCTAGCGTGAGAGATGATGACTGGAGCTGACACAGAGAGAGATGGTGACTGGAGTTGACACAGAGAGAGATGGTAACTGGAGCTGACACAGAGAGAGATGGTGACTGGAGCTGACACAGAGAGAGATGGTAACTGGAGCTAGCGTGAGAGATGTTGACTGGAGCTAGCGTGAGAGATGATGACTGGAGCTGACACAGAGAGAGATGTTGACTGGAGCTAGCGTGAGAGATGGTGACTGGAGCTAGCGTGAGAGATGGTTACTGGAGCTAGCGTGAGAGATGGTGACTGGAGCTGACACAGAGAGAGATGGTGACTGGAGCTGACACAGAGAGAGATGGTGACTGGAGCTGACACAGAGAGAGATGGTGACTGGAGCTGACACAGAGAGAGATGGTGACTGGAGCTGACACAGAGAGAGATGGTAACTGGAGCTAGCGTGAGAGATGTTGACTGGAGCTGACACAGAGAGAGATGGTGACTGGAGCTGACAGAGAGAGATGATGACTGGAGCTGACACAGAGAGAGATGGTG